TATATATTATATATTATATATTATATATATTGCATCTTATATTAGATATATTCTAGTATATTATAGTATATTCTATTATAGTATGTTATATTTTATGATATTATATCATATTATATGATATTATATTATATTATATATTGTACATTACATTATATTCTATCATATTATGTATAATATTATATATTTTATATTATATTTTATATACTCGTATTATAGATTTTATACATTATATACTATATATTATATATAATATATTATATATTATATATTATATATTATATATTATATGTTATATGCTATATATTATATACTATATATTATATATTATATATTATATATTATATTTTATATACTCGTATTATAGATTTTATACATTATATACTATATATTATATATTATATATTATATATTATATATTATATTATATATTATATATATATTATATTATATATTATATTAAATATTATATATTGTTTATCATGTATATTATATTATAGTATATCATGTTGTATCATATATTATATTATATTTCATGTTATATTATATTCTCATATTATATTATATATAATATTATATTATATAGATTGTATTGGATTATATTATATTTTATTATATCATATGTGTCTAGAGAGGCTAAGTGATTAAGAGGCATACTGCTTTAGACCCTCTTACCTGGTATAGCAATGTATAGCGGTATAGCGTATATTCGGTGAAATTGGAGGCATCATTCGCGCATGGGTCAGAGGTAGGGAGCCACTGAGGAATTGCGACGTTGTTTCCGCTCTTTCAGCGGACTCTCATCATCCATTATTAAGTTCAATGCGTATCCAATCCCTTTTCCGGTTGAATCAATCAACCTATCCTGTTAGAGATATACATCGAATCTACGAGCGAAGGGTTTAAGTCACATCAGTTGGGCAGAAGTCACATCAACCCCATGTAACAGCGAGTTGGAAGAAAGTCACATCAACTGGGCAAAAGTCACATCAAAATATCAAAATCCCAATGGCACACCGGCTTTCAAGGAATGTTGTTATATCTCCAAAAATGAAGAAAACATTGCGCACACTGAGGTATTCACATATGTTTAAACTATGTTTTCAAAGGATATATTTAGGAATCACCATGGCACACGGCCTCCCAGATCTTTAACTTTGTTTCCTAACAAACATAGATTTCCATGTAATAGCTATGGGCAACATCATCATATCAACAACGTTAAAATCTGAAAACCCAGTGGCACACCGCTGTCAACATCCGCTTCCGCTTGAATGTTTCATAAGTTCTGCCTTCTGTAAACATTCCCTCTCTCTGCTGGCGTCTCCCGCCCGTATCTCCCGCCAGCGCCAAACAAGGCGACCGAGACTGTAATTTTCTTTTTCGGCGAAATGTTTGCACCAGCGGCAGCAGCAGCAGGAGGAAGCAGCAGCAGCAGCAGGAGGAGGAGGGAGGAGGAAGCAGCAGCAGGAGGAGGAAGCAGCAGCAGCAGCAGGAGGCAGCAGCAGCAGCAGCAGCAGGAGGCAGCAGCAGCAGCAGCAGGAGGAAGCAGCAGCAGTAGCAGGCGGAAGCAGCAGCAGCAGCAGCAGCAGGAGGCAGCAGCAGGAGGCAGCAGCAGGAGGCAGCAGCAGGAGGCAGCAGCAGGAGGCAGCAGCAGCAGCAGAAGGAAGCCGCAGCCGCAGCAGCAGCAGCAGGAGGCAGCAGCAACAGCAGCAGGAGGCAGCAGCAACAGCAGCAGCAACAGCAGCAGCAACAGCAGCAGGAGGCAGCAGCAAGGAGCAGCAAGCAAGCAGCAAGCAAGCAGAAAGCAAGCAGAAAGCAAGCAGAAAGCAGCAACCAGCGTTTGCCCCGTTGAAAGAATAATGAAATATAATATAAGTTTTATAAATCAACGCAATACAAAAATTGAACTTTTTCTAGGCGCACGGCCCCAAAACAATGAAATCGTCCAATTACTAAAAGTTGTGGTGATGCCAAACTTGAACTTTTTCCAGGCGCACGGCCTCCCGATACAACTTCTAGGAGCTGATACGACTTAACGCTAGGGCTAGTAGGGTCAAACTCAATCATGTCAACAAAACATTGCCCACAGCGATGAAAAAGTGTTCGAATCAATAACCCATCAAAGAAAGAACTATCAAAATCTATACGAAACACTGCGCGCACGCAGGTGTGATACGACTTCAGGTCGATTGATACGACTTAAGCCTAGTGGTAGTATGTATATATATATATATACACCCTACTCTTCCAAATGCTATGTTTAATATGGTATTTGCTCAAATACGATGTTTGACTTAGTACTTCATCAAATTTGATGTTTAATCAGCAAAACACTTCTTGACCAATTCAATAGTTAGAGTCCCGAATTCTGTGCTGAGAATGGGCCTGGAAGCGGGTTGGTATCGAAGATTGTGTTGTGGAGTTCTAAGATTCAGGCTCCAAAGTTCACGCAATTTTCACGGGTAAACATGGCATTTCGCAGTTGAACATGGTAATTTCACGCAAACTTCACGGGTATTTCACGCTAACTCATTCCTGCTGGGTTTTTGTGAAACACTGGGCAAGCTACGCGTCAAATTCCATAAATTGCTGTATTAGCATGATGTTTCCATGGTCAAACATGGTATTTAAGAGATACGATGTTTAACTATTAACCAGGTCAAACATAGTATTTGACAAATGCGAAGTTAAACTTCAACATTGAAGGCTAGGGTACATAATGGTGTATATATATATATGATATATGTGTGTGGGCCAAAAATTGAAGTCCGACAAACGCAAGATTCTCAAACTTTATTACTTGTTTGATCTTTTTTGGACATGAAATGGCATGAAAAACGGCAGCCAAAAGCAGCTGACCACTCGTCAGTCGCAGCTGCTTCCCACCCTTGCTGAGTTCTGATGCCCAGCAGATCGGACGCAAATCCGCAAGAGCAGCGTCTCGCGAGGGTCTTGATCTGCGGAGGGGATCATGGACTGGATCAGCGGTGCCATAGCCATGAAATCCCATGAAAAATCCCCGTTCTTCGGGCTGGCTATGAGTCAAAACCTAGTAGCCTCCTAAAATAGCTGCAGCTCATGGATGGTGATTCCCTATGGTAAATTCATTGGTTTTGACTCCCCATATACCCTAAGTGTTTGCTGCTGATAAATTACCATACATCCCCCCATTTCTGAAAGGCAAACATCAGCGATTTTCATCGCGCCTTCCGGCACCGACTCTTGTTGCTCGATACCTCAATTGATGATGTGCTTGCCAGCTATGATTTTGATGGTTAATGTGACGCAAAACGTTAAACCATGGCACCATGAAACCATGAAAAACCATGGCTGAAATATGGCTCAATCAAGTTCAATATGACAAAATATGTAGGGTTATCATGGGTATGCATCAGAAACTGGGATGGTCAGAGATGGTGATCTGGCGCCATCATCATGAATGCCCCCATTTTGGCTCCCAAAATGAACAAATCCAGTAATTTGTAGAATTATCTGTTTCTTTCCAACCATGATTTCAAGATATTTCAAGAAGAGTTCAGCTGTGTGAAGTTTTCAGGGATGAAACTAAAATTGGAGAGACTTCTTGGTGATTATCCAGACTGACAACTCAACCAACTGGATATGGAACGGTTCGTTTCAAGCGATCCAGACACATCCGCTTGACAGGTGGAACAGTTCGAGACTTGTTGGATCACGATATCCAAAGACCATTGAACTGGGATCATGTTGAACCCAACTATGCTGGGTGCAAACCATGGCTGGTTGGTGGTGACTTAATGAAAGTCAATGGGAAGGATTATCCCATATATGAAATGGAAAATAAAAAAATGTTCCAAACCACCAACCAGATGGAAATTCTCATCGGGAATGTGTTCCGATGAAAAATAGCTGTTGGATGCTGTTGGACTGTTGATTCGCCATGGCGATTGGTTAGAAACTCCGCTGGTGGCTCGTTCAATCTTTGAGATTTGTTGGAATTGAACCCTGATCCACAGAAAATGCTGCCCTGCACCAAGTAGCCTCTATGGTACAGGATTTCGCACCGCACCTACCAGTGATAGGAGATTCGGTTGGGGATTACGTGGCACTGCATCCCCCATTTACGTTTCAGATGGTCCATCTATTTGAAGTTCTGGAAAATGACGCCACGAGTGTCCAGGACATGCCAACCATTTTTCCCTGTTTCTGACATTCCTTGGGGGAAAAAAAACATCAAACAACGAAACACCTGAGTTTTTTTCAGATCCAAAAGATGTTGGCCTTACCACGACTGGAAGCCATGAGCTCGCGCCGCCGTTACCGTGGCACGGTGGGTCCGGTGGGTGGCTCGCTATGGAAGAGTTGGCGTTGGCTGATCTTTGGCGCCCCAAAACCCCTGGAGGACATGATGGCAAGATGCAAGACATTCCAAGACCCCAAAGGGTGAATTCTGGAGGTCTTGATTTGGTGAGCAGATTTCGACCAAACCCAATTTATGGTATACTTGCGGCTACGAAGAGTGAGATCTGCAGAAAAGCTTTCATCTTGACGCATCAACGTAGTTCCGTAGTGTCAGTGAGAACATAATTGAACCAACCCCACACTGACCTCACTGCACTGGAAGAAATCGGTGCTGTTATCGTTCGTCCGCGTCTTTCAATCTACCACAAGCTGCAAGAGCCACAGATCACAGGGCAAAACCCGTTCGAGAGCCTCTTTGGCGGCTGTGGATCAAAATTGAGTAGCCTCAATTGAATGATGACCTTCGGGCTAACCCAAGGTGAAAAAAACCATCAATCCTTAGAACATCAAATGATGGGATTTCGCCAGTGTAGCCGCACTGGAGCATCCATACCTTGGACATCCATTTTTTGGGTGGGATAGATTAATTTAAAAAAAGGAACACGACCACCAGTTGGGTCCTTCCCAGAAAACCCCTTGGAATTTCGGCCATTTTCACTTCGCGGGTGGGTCAACACATAAGGAACTGGGAGCGACCCTGCACTCAGGTCGCTTCGGTGTTACCTGAAGGATGAGGTGACCATCTGCAGCAGATGTTTTCTGCTCAGGTTTGCATGTTGGGCTGTAGATTAATGTAGGCAAACTACAAGATGTATCAAGATGTCCCAAAGCGGAAACAAGGCTTTGCTGGATGATTCTATGGCGCGGTCGTTGTGTGTGGTCAGTGTGAATGATCACATCCCATGATCATACCATAAACCATCCAAAAGAGCCATTCGCATTTCCACCCAAGTGTTGTTGCCATTTTTCTGCCCGCTGGCTTGGAATCCCATTCTGAGTATTTTCGTGGCTGAGATCCTGTCATCTTCTGTCCTGTTAACCTAATTTCATGGTGAAAAGCCTAAGTTTTGGATAGTGAAATGGAGGTTTCCTGAAATGGGGATACTAACCAAAAAAAAATGGTTTATAATGGAAGATCCATTCTACCCTCTGGTAATTTAACATAGCTATTGAAAATGGCCATTTATAGTGGATTTTCCCATTAAAAATAGTGAATTTCCATAGTTATGTTGGTTTAACAGAGGGTAAATGGTGAAATAACCATTATAAACCATTATAAACCATCAATTTTTGGGGTATCAGATGATGGTGAAATCCATTAATCCATTCATCCATTTCTAAATGGTGAAATCGGTTGATAAAAACCCGGGCTCCAGACGCTGCAGCTTCAATCTTCACCGGCTCCGTCAGCGTCGGCTCGGTCGCTTCTTCCTGCGGTCTGGGCAACCTGGGCTGAAGCTACCTGGAGAATCCAGACTGAGTCCGTGAGGATGTATAATTTATAGCTGTTTAATAGGGATTTATAGCTGTTTAATAGGGATTTACAGCTGTTTAATAGGGATTTATAATGATTTATATAAGTGGTCAATGAGATTTATAGTTGTTGAATAGGATAAGCATGGGATAATGATGGGATATAACTGACCAACAATCGAGTTCATACAAGATGGGAACCCCCAACACTAGCTAGGTTGTTTATGATTTGGCTCACATGAACAACTAAGGTTTATGGGGATATATATATATATATATATATAACTATACTTAATATTACTTAATGGTGGTTATAAAATTATAAACCAACAAACATAACTGGGGGGAGGGTTCGCCTTGTAAACATATGATTGTTTTTAGCTGCAAGGTTTGATTATGCCAACAGCTAGCAATAAGGGTTCAATATGCAAACATTGAAGATCATCATCCCAATTCTATGTTTGAAAATCAAAAACATAAAACCACCTACTGTATATACATATACAATCTGGTTATGACTAACATTGCCATGGTATAGATGGCCCATAGAAATAGATGGTTTACCTATTAAAAATGGTCGTTTTCCATGGCTATGTTAAATTACCAGAGGGTAAGATCATATAAGTAGTATCGACTCTATATCAATTTATTTTTCAGAGATGTTGATTGGATTACTATAAAAATGTGTCATCCCCAATTCCAACGGCTTTTTCACCATTTTCCCTATGGTTCCCTATTGTTGAACGGCCACAACCGTTGGGGTAGTTGGGCCCCCATTGGGCCCCCTGGGGCCTACGACTTACACCCCAAAGGACCGCTTCCGCCGCAGACGGAGTTGAGGGCCTCTGACATGACTGGGATGATTCGGAACAATGAATGAATATTAATATGTTGCTTAACTGATATTCTGATTGACATAACTGGGATGAACATCATGAAGTTAACCAACAATCAATCGCAATATCATTTCGATTATGGATAAACTGTAAATCAAACTGAAAACCTAAAGCTATTTTAACTGAAAACCTAAAGCTATTTTGGGAGAATTACCCATTTACCCAAATCCAACTACCATGACTCCGGTGATGTTGCGTGAAGTCATTATGATCCAAATGTATCCATCTGTGAAGTAGTGCCAATTTGTTCACGTGTAAATACATATTATATATACGTATATATATATATACTGTATACACATGCAAATTTGGTGTGGTGATATGGATATACAGATACGTATGTATTCAAAAATATGTATGTAAGATTAGGTGTGTGTGTGTGCATGGAACTGCTTTCCAATCGCATGGTCAGAGGGTTCCATTTCCTATTGATTGGACTGGGGCTCCCAGTCCCACCTTGTTCATGAAGCCACAATCACAGGCCCATTGGCTCGCCGGCCTCGCATGACAGGGTCCGCTTCTGGCCGAAAGTTAGAAGAGATTCCCGACTTGACACAAACATGGCTCTGTTTTCTGAGCCTATTCTGGTGTGGTTTCCCTTTAATGTTGTAAACTGGTAAACCCAAAAAAATATTGTTTGTGTGTTTTCTCGTAGCCAGATCACTATCTTCCCTATTAAGACTGCCAATCATATGGCTGGGAATACTCCAGAAAATATTTACCACATTCATGCGCCAAAGCCAAGAATAATACAAACCCCTCTAGCCAATTCAACCAATTTGCTGGTTTAGCCAGGAATGCCAAAAACCCAACACCAGAACAAAGGCTATGGCATTGGGTTACAGGACTGACCATCATGTGGATGCTCAACATTGCCATTTCAATAGAAAATGACGTGCTGAACCATCAATTTGTAATCAACCAAGATGGGGATATCATGGGGATATCATGGGGATATAGAACCATGTTATCTTATGGTAAATGGAAATCTAGACATGTGTTCCTTTTGTGTATAGCAACATCTACTTGCCAAAAAAACTCACCTTTCTTGGTCCCTGGAAAAACAGGCTGTGGTCATCCCCGTTTCACAGTGCCTCATCAACCCCACTGAGGATGCAAAAATTTGGTGATTTACCATAGGAAAACCATGGGAAAACCATAGGAAAATGGTGGTTTAAATGGGATTTAATGGTGATTTACCCTCTGGTTATGACTCACAGGGCTTGCCATGGTTTTTCGATGGCCCTAATCGAAATAGATGGTTTACCGAACTTTAAAATGGTGGATCTTTCCATGGCGAACTGTTAAATAACCAGATGGTAAATCTGACGAAATCTGACTGTAAATTATACAATTTCATTAACCTGACATAAAGCCACTGATCTTCTCTTTGGCCGGCCCCCTCCCCGACCTGAAATAAAGCTATTTGGATGATTTCCCTATTGTTTCCCCTACTAACCATCATTCCAGGTTTCGGGAGAACAGTGAGGTCGATCACCCCACTTAAAAACGGATTTCTTGTTGGCCCATCTACTATGTGAAAACCATCTATGGTATATCAATATATACATACCTTCTATAAAATAAAGGCCATAATTGATATATAACCACATATATGTATACTTACATAGACACATCTACATAGTATCAAATTATATGTCTACATTCTATATGAACCATATACTTCATATCTACATACCATGTATGGTTATTAGATACTAAAACATGTATGTAGATATATATAACTTCATATACTATGGTAGCCATGAAGGTTTCCTGAAATGGGGGGTACCCCTAAAAATCATCCATTCATACATGGGAATAGATCATATGGTATAGATAGTATGCTATACTATTACAGATCTATATAGATCTATAAAATCCCATCTATGAAATGGGATTTTCCCATGGAAATAGATCTATAAAATACCATCTATACTATGACATAGATCTAGAAATAGATCTATGTTCAATCCCATCTTTTTGTAGATCATATGCTATAGATAGTATGCTATACATTGCTATACTATGACATAGATCTATAATATGTGATATTTATAGATGGGATTTTCCCATGGGAACTTCACCATCCCTCTCCAGTCGTCCCATGTCGAACCGTCGCCTTGCAGCCACACCGGCGGGTTTGCCCTCGGGGTTCGGCGCCTTGCAACCCAAGGCGCCACTGATGCCACCTGCGATGTGGCCGAAGGACTGGAAGTTCTTGGTGATTCTATGGTGATTTTTAGTGATTTAGTGACTTAGTGCTTTAGTGATTCTATGGGGTTATTCTATGGTGATTCTATGGGGTTATTCTATGGTGATTCTAACTATGGGATTTATAGTGATTTATGGTGATTAATTTAAAGCGACTGGACTGGTGATTCTCTGGTGATTTGTTGCGTGATTCCTAGTGATACAAACTATGTGGATTTATGGTGATTCTATGGTGATTCATAGTGATACTATGTGGATTTATGGTGATTTATGTTGCTTTATAGTTATTTATGGCAATTACTATTTGTTGATAGCGATTACTATGGGATTTATGGTGATTCGATTGGGATTACGATGGGATATGGGGAAAATCCCCCAATATGAATATATCATGGCGGTATGATATGGGATGAAGTGATTCATGGTTGTTTATGAGGCTTTATAGTAATTAATCAACTTGATATGATAGTTTAGATAGTTCGTGGGATAATAATAATAATGATGATAAAAAGGATATGTGGGATGTAGTGGGATGTAGTGAGATGTTCAATGGGCTGTTAGGTAGCCACTATTCATTGCAAACCATGGGGATATAATATGGGATATATCATGGGGATGTCATAAGAAGATGAATTTGAATATGGTGATCAGCACTAAATCAATGGGGTTCCCTTCTATTTCCGTGATTAACGATATTGTATATACATAACTATACATATATGGCAGTGTGTCAAAACCTTGTACCCCTGGTGAACCCCAAAATAGCTGGTAAATGGATGTTCATCCCACTAAAAATGGTATTAATAGGTATTGATCCATAGCCATATATATATACAATAAACATCATCCTTCAGAATCCCACGAGCTATCATCAACCAATATTTCAAGCATCTAGCAGTGATTAGCTGCTACCATCTGTGTCGACCGTCGACAAGGCGCCACAAACGGCGTTGCTGTTCCTGTTCACGAACATGCAGGATCCTTGGTGAGCTGTGATGAGCTGT